CATGTAGTGAACCAAAATCTGATTCCACAGAGTCTGTGGAGTTGGAATCAGATTCCAGTTCTTCTGAGTCAGAGTCATGTATTCTTGGGGGTGATAACTCGGATGCCACTGTCCTGTCCAGGTTGTCTTTTTCGTTTTCCTTTGAGTCTGTTGTAACCGAAGGATCAGACAGACTAGATGTTATTAATGAGAACTGCACATCTGTGGCTTCTGAGTACTTTTTTGTGCCTTTAGTTTATTGCATTAATCAGGACTTCTAAAATTTTGATGAAAACGATGAGAAAGAAATTCCTCCGGTTTTGAAACATTTGATTGATCAAGAACAGGAGAGGTTTATAAAACCTTTGGTTGATGAAATCACCTCAATTAATGTTGATACTAAGAAGGACCTGCGGCTGGTCCAGATCGGGTCCACGTTGTCTTTTAAGGAACGCGAGCGCTTAGTCGCTTTATTAAAAGATTTCAAAGATGTTTTTGCGTGGTCCTACTAAGATATGCCTGAAATTGATCCTAAGATTGTACAGCACCGGATCCCTCTTGACCCAGAGGCCCGACCTATTAAGCAGAAGCTCCGAAGGATCCGCTCGGACTGGGCTCTGAAAATCAAAGAAGAGGTCACCAAGCAGATTGACGCAGGGTTCCTGTTAGTATCTGAATATCCGACTTGGTTGGCCAACATAGTTCCAATGCTAAAGAAGGACGACAAAATTCGGGTATGTGTAGACTTAAGGGATTTGAACAAAGCCAGTCCAAAGGACAACTTTCCTCTGCCGCATATCGACAAATTAGTGGACTTCACTGCTGTGCATGCGCTACTCTCGTTCATGGATGGGTTTTCAGGCTACAATCAGATTTTGATGGCACCTGAAGACAAGGAGAAAACTGTTTTCACTACCCCGTGGGGGACCTACTGTTATAGGGTGATGCCGTTCAGTTTGAAGAATGCAAGGGCTACATATAATTTTTATAATTCTAGAAAATTCATTATTTTAATTTTACTAATTAAATTATTATATATCTATTTGTTATATAATATTTCAAACAAAACATTAATAGCAACAAAAAATAAAATAAAATAAATTTGTATAGCTCATGCCATGTTTGGGATTTTTTGATTAAAAAGTCAAGAAACTAGAGAGTTGTAAAATGTGTTTGGCATGTATAAAAAAAAAAAAAAAAAATCAAAAATTTTTGTACCAGTTTGAAAAGACTACCAATTTTTGTGAATGAGTACCTAGGTATTTACCCTTTTGTAAAACGAGAAATTTAAGTAACAAATAAAAATATTTACATTTTCTCATACAATTAAAAAAACTCATTCCTAAATACATTAACTTTTTTCTTTATCTCTTATAAAATTCAAAAAGCCACTTAGAAAGCTAATTTCAAACATTTCTTTTGTTAAAAAAAAAGTTAGAAGTTACTTAATATTATTTAATTTTTGTTTTTTTAAAAAAATTATTTTTAATTAATTTAAAAATAAATTTATCAATCATTGTTTAATCTCGTGCATAGCATGGGTAATATGTTAGTTATTAATAAAAGCCAAGGAAGGTTAATTGTTACAATCTACTGGAACAAAATGTTGAGATCAAGGAGATAAGACCAAGTCAAAGTGCATGATCTACAAACAATTCTTCGAAAAAGGAATTAGGTGGGTGGTCAAACATGGAATATGGATGATGTTGAGGAAATCATGTCTTGTTGAGAAAATCATGAGTCTAGATTACTTCTCCCTCCCTCTCTCTCTCTCTCTCTCTTTCTCTCTCTCTTATCTAACTAAGCCTATAAATATGTCAAGAGAGATACAAAAAAGAATATCCAACAGAATTCACACATCGTGGTTATTAGGAGTAGGTTTTATCAATTAGGAGTAGCTACGTAAGCAACAAGTTTAGGAGTATTTTATCTATAGCAGGTTACTTTTTTCCCATTGATTATTATATTTTCAGGTTTTTTTTTTTTTTTTTTTAAGTTCTGTTTAAATTCATGTAACTTGTGACGAGTGACAATTAATTTTGATTAATATAATTTTAGTTACTTTTGCTCATTTTCTTTTTCATTTATTTTTCTCCAAAGAAATCATTGATTTGTTCAAGGTAAAAATGCAACCACATGCTTTATCTTTTATTGTTTTGTGAAAATTAAGTGTTTTTTTGTCGATTGACCTTAAAACAAAATTTTGCTAACAGAAACATTAAGAAAAAGGCATTTTCACTTGTTATTAAAACAAGTTTTCACTTTCTTTTTGCTCCCCCGCCACCCATTATCACTACCACCACGACTCGCTATCGACAACCTCTACCCAATTGTTGGCGACCTCCAGCCACTTTTAAAGTTGTAACGCCCTCAAAATAAGACATATGACAATCATGCTTAAGATCCATAAACATAATAGAAAAGTATTATGTTTTCATTCATCAGAGTCTCCTTTACAAAAGATATTACATACGTTACGTTTTCATTGACGTTTATCCTGAAACTATAGCATGTAATTCTAACTCGTAACAACAAAGAAAATGTCCTAAGGGCTTACATCTTTCAAAGCTATCACTTGGTTACAGCAAAAGAAGAGTTCTAACTCTTTTACATATAAAGCCCTCGGCTTAAGTTTACATTTAACATCAAAAATAAATCATCAAAATGGAGCCTTCAACTCCTAAACCTCCCAAGCTAAGACCTTGGAGGTGGCATGTCATTTGTACCTGAAAAATGGTGTCCCAAGTAGGGTGAGCCAATGCCCAGTAGAGATATGCTAAGCAGTATATGAAAATTAACTAAAACATTAGTATCCGATAAATGTTTAACACTTATAAACCAACTTATACCATTTCCATAACCAATCAACACTTACATCATATTCGATCCAAATCAATTCATTGGCATAGCTCAATATTACTCAACAGTTTAAAAATGGGACTACAACTCATGTATCAACACTTCAATAACAAACATCATTCAACACTTCATTTTCCTGTCATTTTACGGAACTACGTCCGAAGGAACCGGCACCCAAATATATATAAGATTTCGGAACTTTCACTCTGGACACTCCGGCTAACTTAATTATCAATGGAATCCATCCCTTATCTCCTCCCAAATAATGGAATACATCTCCTATCTCCTCCCAAACAAGATATATATGCAATATATTTAAACACGTTGTCATACACAATGACCAATTCAATCACATTTTCAATGTTTTTATCCAACCGTCATATTCAATGATATATTCTAATTGATTAGTTTCAATTTACTTAATCATCATGTAGTTTATACAACAATCATGGATATCCTCCACCGATAGCCCAAAACAGATATATCTAGACAGATAAATAACTTTATCGACAGATAAATTATCACATTTTCCATGAGTGAGTGATTTATCAATCCAACTACACCATATAATCACAATTTCCTCCAATTTCACAATTTCCAAACCAATTTCATATTTCCACAATTGAGTTCTTTATTTAAATAAGTAATTCATTTAATCCCAATTAGGGCATTTTCTCTCTTTTCTCAAAAATTGTACCCAAATCCAAATTTCATCAATTATATACAAAAGAGCCCAAACTCAAGACCTCACATACACAATGAATCCAAAATTAGAAGATCCCTCTTTTATAATTTCAAACTCAAACCCTAACTTCACCCAAACCAACCATTTATACAGGATGACCAATATTTATGTTAAAGCTCATAGTAATGAGTAGATTATCCCTACCTTAAATAGAGAAGCTCAAAGGAGATGAAGAGAGAAACCCAAGATGCTCCAAATTCACACTTTTTCGGATCAAAGGGAAGCCCTCGCTATGCTCTAGCATTTTTACAAAGGAACTAGGGTAGAGAAACCCAAGATCAAGGAGTATTTGTAGAGAGAAAGGGAGTTTAGAGGGAGAGACAACCGGATCTAGGGTTTGGAGTGAAAAGGAGATGAAAAAGTGATAAAATCACGCTGCTGCAAACTGATATATGCGAGGCTCGCTCGAGCGAAGGAGTTGTCACTCGAGCGACCAAACATAACAAACACCTCGCTCGAGTACAAGAAGCGTCTCTCGAGCGAACAATGCGAAGCCTCAGGTCTGCCACTCACGCTGACGCACGCTCGAGCAAAGGAACCAATAACATAGGGCTCGCTCGAGCGCAAGAAGGCTCGCTCGAACAAAGAATACTAATCATCAGGTCTTACAGAGACACAGATGTACGCTCGAGGGCACAAACGCTCGCTCGAGCGAAGAGACACACTAAACAAGTATCGCTTGAGCGCAAGAAGCCTCGCTCGAGCGAAGAGACCAAAACCTGGATAGTAACCCCTTGCACCAACTCACAACCAACCTGTTCCAAACTCGCCCAACGCATCCCAAAACTCAAATACAAAGAATTAAATGACGTAAACAAGATACAAACAACAACATACGACCACTAAACCCGAGTCTGGACACAATGAAAGTCGGGAAAAAATCTAGATCGCTATAAAAGTGGTTCTTTGGTTCTCAACTAGACACCATTGTGGCCTCCGACAACCTTTTGGCAGCGCTGCAGGCGTCTTGCGAACTTTGACAACTTTTCAAAGGTAATTTCATTGTGAGAAAATGATTAAGACTTCTAAATTATTGCAATTTCACTGTAAGAAAATGATTAAGACTTCTAAATTATCATATTCACCATTGTGCTTAGATAAAAAATTTAAATAGAAATTTAGAAAATGAATTGAAAATGGAGGGGAAAAAATAGTCTATATTTCATTTACATTTGTCTTATTTTTTTCTCTTTCTTTTTCTAAATCGTTAATCAAATTCATGATTCAAACACAACTTAAATTTATTTCTTATGAATCGGACCGTTGAATGTCAATTGTTGATTGTTTGGGAATGAACCAACTAAGATTCATCCTTATTTATTTATTTTTTTCATTTTTTTATTTGGGATTGTAGGTGTGTGATTCCCCAACAATACTACTAGTATTTGGAATTCCCCATCCAATTATTGAATAAATAGACACAATTTTATAATAATTTTGAAAGAAATAAAGACATTCAACATCAAATTTTAAATACAAATTAACAGAGAGAAGACATTTCAAGTTTCTATGTTCACATTAAACCACTAGTGTAAAGGACTCCAGTTGCAGGCAACCAGTCATCTCCTGATATGAAGTTGGAGACAGTGAAGTTAACCGCATCCGTTGCGCTTATCACATGGTAACCAGGCCAAGTAACCCTGTTAGTAGTACTTGACCCCGGTCCTCTATTGTTGTATTCTGCATAATACAATGTGTCCAATGCAAAAGACCCGGACCACACAGCCCAACCAGCTGGATTAATCAAGCTATCCATGAAAGATTGCATATAAACAGTTCTCGAGCACAACTGCCATGGCCTGCCCAAGTATGTTTGTGTTGTGCCATTGTCCGCTGCCAAGTCAGGGGCAGCTATAATGGTACAATTTTGTATTGAAGTACCGGTATTTTGGTTTATATCTGTCCTGCCTTGTGCGGTGATTGCATTAAATTGGCCTTGCATGGGAAGCCGCGGATACACATTGCAATTTTGGAAAACAACGGCTGCATTTCCAAATATGAAATCCACCGTGCCGTAGATATCGCAGTGGCTGTAGAATTGCCTCATAGAATGGGTTAACAAGGTGTCTTGGTAGCCTTCAATGCTGCAGTTGTAGAAGGTGGACAAATCAGCATTGTTTAAAAGTGCCACTGCTTGCTGCTTTACTGCTCCTGCTGTGTTTTGAATGGTTATGTTTATTGCCACAAATCCTGGTCCAACTACAGCTGCAATTAAAGTATTCATTGAGAATGTAAGATTTAGTTAGTTTTGAATTTCTTGAATGTAATTGACTAGATTTGATTTATAGTAAAGTTGAGCATGTGTAGCGATAGATTAGGATTGTACGTCGTGGAAGCTTATTCTAGAAATAACTAGGTCAAATTTTCATTTGTTTTCAAATTTGTATCATGTTGTCTCAAAATACTCATAATTATTAAATTATATATGAATCTCGAGATATAGTCCAGTGGCAAATGTTTTGAATAGAGGAACAAAGGGATTGGGTACAGAAGATCTGGTATTGATATAGGGGTTTTCTGATTATATTTGAATCATAGGTGGTAAACTACTCCACTCTCAAATCACAAAGGAGTAAAATAATTTTTGCCTTTATAGATAATTATTTATAACTGATGAGAATAAAAATTTGTTAAATGTGAAATAACTAAGTAAAATTGAATGTTGATTGTAATATTTTAGTATTTTAATTTTTTTACATTGAAGAAAATTAAATTAGGGTTAATTGGTAAAAAATCCATTCCTATAAGGTCATATCCCATTTATTCCAATGTTTATTTATTATTTTGGTGATAAGGATACGTTGAAAAGTCGTCAGAAAAGTCACTGGCGATGGCGACAACTAGTGACATTGAGGTGAATAAATATGTGATATTGAAGAAATAAGTGACATATGCACAAATAATGAGACATTTGAATAAATAGTTATATGGAAAGGGAATGCGTGTATATCTAATGAGACATTTAAACAAATAAACAAATATGTATCTTTTTAGACTAATAATATCCTTTTAGCTCAAAAAAATTTAAGATAAGCCCAAGAGTTTCCCAAATAAACTTCTAGACTGAGTGGCATTAAATTATATGTATTATATGCATATAATTATGAGAAATGTTAGAGATCATGAAAATTTTGTCATGAAAAGGATCATGAAAAATTTGTGATCTTTAAATTACCTTGATTAGTGTGTGGTGCTTTATTGTAAGTATAATCCAAAGGTCACAAATCTTTCATGACTATTTTCATGAAAGACTTTTCATGATACCTAACATTGCTGTACAATTATTGATTATAAAAACATTGAAGATTCAGAGGTCAATATATAAATAAACAATAGAGGTCTCAACTTACCAAATGTTGGAGAACTATATGTAGTCCATCCATCAGCCACACTATGATTCCCTGTAATTACAGTCTTGTTTGGTAGAAAATTTGGGACCTCTAGCATTTTCCTTTCCAAATGTCACAAATCTTTCATGATGATTTTCATGAAAGACTTTTCATGATACCTAACTTACCAAATGTTGGAGAACTATATGTAGTCCACCCATCAGCCACACTATGATTCCCTGTAATTACAGTCTTGTTAATGCCGTCTCCGACCATCATCAAGTACTGTTTGTTCTGTGCAATGGAAACATATTCTTCATATACTCCTCCAACCACATAAATCATGAAGTATCCCTGGTTAGCAGCAGTGTTGGTTGGCGCTGCCGCCACTGCATCGCTAATTGTCGTGAAGTTCCCACTCCCATCCTTGCTTACAACCACCATTTTGTTCACCTTCACCTGACCGCCCCCACTCGTTTGCCAGAGCTTTCTTCCACTCATCGATTCATAAATCTTCTGGTGTTGGCTCGACATTTTCAGACCCAAGTGACCATATTTGGAAAACAATGACTCTCTTTCTGCTAGCCATCTGCCTTTTCTTGTTTTAGGAACGTAACCATGCTTAAACAGTGCAAGTGATACGCTGTACAACTTGTTTCCATCGTCAAAAGGACTTAAAAAGTTGTTTTGAATGCTAGAGGGTGGAGTTGTGGCTTGAAGCCCATCCGAACATGTTTGATGGTTGGTCATAATGGCACTAAGCAAGGTATGTGTATCATCAGCTTGTGAACTTTGAAGGGTATCTGTAGAATCGATGGATTGAATAGTGGTCGACAAGAAATCCATGTTTAAGCCGAGGAGGGACTGGCAATCTTTGAGAGCACGAATGGTGGGTTGAGAGAGCCCATTTGGGAGTGTGAGGTAGCTATTGACCAATGAAAGGAAATGACTGGTTGTTTCTAGGGAATGGCGAATGAAAAACCGGGCGTAATCGCATATAGTGGAAGATTGGTTGTTTGGTAAAATGGATTGGCAGAAGAAAGGGTAAGGGGTGGAATTGCAAACGGCATCCGGTGAGGTAGAGATTTTTGCAAGGGATGGAGAGAAGAAATGGAGGGCGAGAAAGAGAGACAGAAAGCAAATAGTAGAATGCATGGAAGCCATGTTTCTGATAGTTTAGTTTTGGTGTGGCAATGTAATGTGGGATGGACCATATATATACTACTAGTATTTCTATGCAAAACCATTTGAATTTAAATATGTGAAGTCAACTTCTATGTTTGCTAACAAGCATGTTGATGTCGATATGCCTATCATTTTACGTTTTTGTTACTCCACAATGAAGCTGGCAAGGAAATTAGTTTTTGGTGTAAGTTGTGGTGTGGAATGGACCAGATCAACCCAATCACCACCATGGCTATATCAAAAATCTATGCAACAATGTAATTTTAATTAATAAAATAATAATGATAAATTTAAAAAAAACTTTGTAAAAATACTTGAACATATGGGAATTTAAAATCACGTACAAAATAGTGAGAAGAATGGATAGTAACCAAGTTCTATTTAGTAAAAATTATAGAGCGGATGCATTAATTCCTTCATCTACAAAGTTGCTAACAAGGTGTAATGGCTCCAAAATTCAATCCAAGTATTCAGAGTCTTTCTCATGCAATGTTCACATCCATATATATGATGTATAAATGAGTCACGAGTCAAAGTTGGTCATTAAAATTAATAAAATTAGTTTGAAGAACACTTCCTAAACAATCTCAGCATACAACTATTTTGTAGATTAATTGGCCTTGAGCGTTTCTTAGCAATCTCATCTCTACCATTAGCCAATGGCGCTAGTATTTCTAGAAGAAATTTTATAACATTTGATATATTTTTGTGTGTTTAGCGCCGGAGTATTTTAGTTTGGTACCTACTTTATTTTTTTTGATCATATCATTCACGATAAAAATTGTGTGTCGTGAAAAGTGAAATATGTTTAAGGACTGACATATATCTGTCGTATACATTTGATGTATTAACAACATGTCATATGTATATCATGGAAAGTTTCATCTACAACTAACATTGCAAGTTGTAAAAAACTCATCATTATTAGCATTAACAACATAAGTAATAGACATGCCATTATTATTTAGGACATGCAAAAAAAAGTCGTAAAAGTAAAAAACTACGGCTTGCATGCCGTTTGTATGATGCCATGAAAATCCAGTTTTGTTATCGTGTCAATTGCATTTTCCAAAATTTAGTGAAATGAAAAATAAGTTTATTTGAACAAAAAATATTTTTAACTTTTAGAAGGTAGAAAATGCATTCCAATTGATTCAATGGTAAAACCTTAGCCTAATAACTTTGAGGTTATGGGTTCAAGCTACTGGATAATTATCTTGTACACTGTACTAAAGGTTCACTACAAGAAAACACATTTTTGGCGACCAGTTTTGGCTACCAAAACAAATTTAGTCGCCAAAAGTGTGGGAATTGGCTACCAAAATTAATTTTAGTCGGCAAAAGTCAACTTTTTAGCTACTAATTTTTCTTAGTAGGGGGAATGCTGATTATTGGCGACTAAAATAAATTTGGTAGCTAAAAATACTACAATTGGCCACTAAAAAAATTTTTAGTAGCTAAACATATCTCCATTAGCGACTAATTTTACTTTTAGTAGTTGTAGACGCACCTTTACCTACTAAATTGTTTGGTAGCCGAAGGGAAATAAAAAATTTTATTTTTGATCTTTGGCGACCAAACTTTTGGTCGCCAAAACTATCTTTTCAGCGACAAAATCCATTTTAGTCGCTGTAGACCTACTTTTGCCCACTAAATTCTTTGGTAGCCAAAGGGAAATAAAAAATTTTATTTTTGATCTTTGGCGACCAAAACTTTGGTCGCCAAAAATTATTAAACAAAATAGTTATTTTATTTTTATTTTTATGAAAAGGTTGTCAAATCTTAACAACAATGACATTTTATCCATGGAATTTCACTTTTTTTTTTAAATGAGAAAAATATAATTGAAAGAAAGTTCTTTTTTAAAAATAAAAATGAAAATGAAACATGCTTATTAAGTAAATAAAAATGAATTCCCATTAGTAGTAGGTATATGAATAAAACAATCAGATTTATTGAATTAAGTGGTAAAAGCCATGGCCAGTTGGCTTTATTAGGCTATACTAGAATCCAAATGGTTTATCATCTTCTAAAATTAATTTAAGGTTTACTTTAATATAATAAACTAGTTACAACTGCATAATAAATTAATTAAATCCACTTGACACATGATTTCTTCATCTGTCTTTATTTATGACAAAATATACATATTAAATGTTCTAAATTTCTAAATCAAATTGATTAGTGCGTAGTTAGTCATGCAGGAGTCCCCAAAAAAAATTAAGTATATTTTACAATATCTATATAATAAGAAAGAACGGTTTTTGAAAATATGTTAGAGACAATTGTCCTACTAAGACATTTCAATGACTATGATTCATTTGTCTATTTAAATAGATGGTTGAGATGACCCCCTTAAATATATATCAATCCCCTTCCAGCACCACTATTACATATCTGTTCCGTTTGGGAAGTTGAACCTAATGAAGTAATGATGGTTGGGGATAACCTTAAAGATGATGTGAGTTCTGCTCTATTTCTCTCTCCATCATTTGCACCATATTTGTTAAGAACATTTCTGATTCATTTTCAGGTGCCGTTTTTGTATATATACATTTTTTAATTTCACATTCTTTTATCAAATTTGTTTGAATCAAAACATGCTTTGTGTAAATTAAAGCTCCTTTACTTGGTCTTCGCAGGTTGCTTGTGGGAAACGAGCGGGAGCATTTACATGCTTGCTTGACGAAACAGGGAGGTATGATTCTCCCGAATACACAGATCTGGAATTTCAGCCAGATTACAACGTGTCTTATCTTGCCCATGTTCATTCACTACAGGAAGCAAATTTTGACCTGACACCATGATCCACAATTTCCTTGACAATAAAATTTGCATTGTTAAATTGAGTAGCATTGAGATTCTCATACCATTTATTAATTGGTGGATACACCTATTTTTCATCCTGTGAAGAATTCATAGGAGAAGCTTTGTTGTATATCTATATGTAATACTTTTGACCCATTTTATAATGCGATTTCTTTCTCTCTTTGGTGCAATGCAATGCATATTTTAAAATTACAATGAAGTTTATATGTTTATTTTTGACTAAATGATGAAATAATGTGGCTACGATTATTTTGATTCTTTTTATGTTTGATTTATGATTTATACATAGGGATTTACAAAATGAACAATTTAGATCACTTGAGTGAGACTTAATGTGGCTACGATTATTTATACATAGCAAGACTGCATGCCTGATCCACTTTTATAGACTAGAGGCAATCCTGATGATAATTGACCTTAATTTTGATGATGACAGTTTGAATTAAAGAAGATAATAAGTCAATTTTCTTTAATCTCAAATATTCTTATATTTGAAGTCACTCCGTCCGTTGCACCACTACATAACTTAGGCACAATGCAGTGTACTGATTACATAAAATATTCAAAATCTGTAAAATTAGTGTCTCCCTTCATCGGTAGAAAGAGTTCATGCAGCATTTCATAAAGCCTCTCAGAACAAGGGTGGATTTTATCAGCAACATAACAGTTGTGAGTTTCACTATTAATATATCTCTGCAAATGTGTGTGTATATATATGAGGAATTTGGGGATCCTGGAGAAGAGAAAAAAGAAGAAAAATGAAAATCATGTGTCCCTGGAAATGTGTATATATATATATATATGTATGTATATATCAATCGACCTATGTATTGGAAAGAAGTGAATTACAGAGTTGGGAAGACAAAAGCAAACAAGATTTTGATCGCATTTGACCGTTTCAAATCTGGGACCAATTTGAAGGCTTCCCTGTGTTTGAGTTTGTGTTTGATTTCTTTTATTTTTTTATTAGTCCTGTGGAACAAAAAAAACTTCTCAATCTCATCTCTATTCTAATTCATACCCCCAAAAAAAAAAAATTAAAATAATAAATAAATTTTGACAATAATGCGGTAATATGATTATTATAATAAAATGTTTTATATTAATTTATTTTAAAATAAGAAATTCACAATAAAATTTTCTATTTGTATATTTAGTCTTTTAAAAAAATATTTACAATATTGAATTATAGGAAAATTTTGAAATTATGTATTTGCAAAAATTTTGAAATTTTGAAATTATGAAATATTTGTATTTTGAAAAAATATTAGGACAAATATTTAAGATAATTTAATATTTATAATTTAAAATTTTATTACTTATATTTTTATTTAAATATAATTTTAATATATTTGTTATGTTACGGTTCGATTTGCTCATTGGTTCGATTTTACTATTTTTATTTACTATTTGTTTTTGTTATTTTTTATCTTTACTGAATTTTTTTTGAAATTTTAGAACAAAATTATAATTTTTCGATTTGTTTTGTCGAATGAAAACAAAAAATAAAAAAAAAATGTCACGTTTTTACCTTTCGCGACCAAAATTTTGGTAGCCAAAAGTTTGTTTTAGAAATAATTAGTTTCGGCGACTAATTGGATTTTGGTCGCCAAATAATACAGTTTCACCGACTATGTTTTTGGTAGCCAAACGTGCCACGAAATTGTGGAGGGAATATTACTTTTTCTTCTATTTACATTGCAAAAGTATCCCAGTTCCCTCCCTCTCGCACTCCCGCCTCTATCACTGCTCTGTCTCCATCGCAAGAGTTGCTGTGTCATCCCCCGCACTTCCTCCCAGGTATCTCCCTCTCTCTCTCTGTATCTCCCTCTCCATTTCTTAAACATCTCACACGGCCTTTCAGTTTCCCTCTTTCTCTCTCTCTCTCTCTCTGTTTACACACACACACACAAATCATATATTCACAACATTGATTCCATACTTGATTATTTTCCCAAATCATATGTACACTCACGCCTCTGCCCTCTTCTGTACAGGAATAGTCTCCATCGCCCGAACTCCCCCGAACTGGATCATCCCCCAAACTCCCTCCCAGGTATGTTTGAATTTCGCATCTGTCTCTCCCTCTCTCCGTATCTCCCTCTCGATTTGCCTCAGTTTCTATCTGTCTCTGTTTACACACACACACACATACATACATACATA